GAGAGAGAGAGAGAGAGAGAGAGAGAGAGAGAAGAGATAACAGGCTAAGAGAGGGAAAAGCAAGGGAAAACGAACGTAACAGGGTGAAATGGTGAAGGATAGATAACGCGTATAGGATGAAAGGAGAGGATTGTGGAAAAGACTACGTACTCGGCCAGTGAGGGAAATAGCGATAGAAACGCGAAGTGAGCCACCTAGTAAGGGAAAGAGATGGAGAATAGGGGGTGGAAAGGGAGAGATGGAAGAGAGAGACAGAGTCAGTAGTCAGCCAGGATGGAATTAGGTGGAAACCCGCGGGACTGGTGCCACTCCCTGTGGAATTCCCGGCCTCTGTAATCACCAGTTTTCCTATCCTATCCAATTCTGGTCGCACTGCTTCCATCTTCTCTCTCTCGATCTCTCTATTTTTTCCCCGTCCTTTCTTCTCTCTTACTCCTTCTCGCGCGTCGTCCTTTCCCGCTTTTTATTTTTTTCTCCTCTTTCTTCTCTCTTTTCCGCTTCTTCCTTCCTTTTTATTCCTGGTTCCACTCTATCCTTCTCTTCTCTCCTCTCCTCTCCTCTTCTCCTCCCTCCCTTCCGTTTCTGGTTTCATTTTTTACTCGTTTTCTTCGATGCTATTACGCGTGGGTTGATTTTCTTCTTTCACTTAGGATCTCCCTTCTTTCATCGTGATTTTTATTTTTATTTCCTTGTTACGGATGCTGTATATCTCGCGTATAGATAATAGAAGATTTTTTTTTTTTTTAATCACGAACTGAGCTTTGTTACTTGTAATCATCCTTCGCCGTTGTTTCGTCGTTAGTGGATCATTGATTCGATATATATATATCGTTTAATTTTTATTTCAGAAAATATTTAATACTATATTAGTGAGTTATGGTTTAATTTGATTAAACTAACAGGAGAAACATTTATCGTTCCCTATGTTTTCATACTGTCTTGGTCACAAGTGGAAACAGACAGGTCAAGGCAGACGTCTAGAGAGACGTTATTACCGAGTAATCTTCAGAAATTCTCTCTCTGTTTCAATAATCTATTTCTCAAATATTATCGAACGAAATAATTCTTCTGATACAGTATTCCGAATCAAATAATACATTTACTTTTATTTATTTGAGAAAAAAGTTTGAAAAGATCGTATTAGTAAATATGATATAATAATTTTTCGAGTAGATAAAAAGGAATAAAGGAATTTTGATGATGATTTACACGTTAAACATTAATTGTTTAATTTTACAAAGGAACGTAATCTCTGATACGTTACATTTGAAAGTAAAAGAGATGAAGAATTCACGTTTCTCAAGAATAATTTTTTGGAAATTACAAAGTATTAAAAGAAATCAAGATTGCTACGAGTTAGAAATATAATTCAGTAGTATAGGTCAATGTATATCTCAAACTAGTGGCACGAGTCAATATCTCAGTTTCATCTCTTTGTAACGATACCGTTCTTCATTTTCGCACAAGAACTTACATTTCCATCGTTTTTCTTTCACGTATTCCAGTTTTATACGCACCTCGTATTTTCCCAAACTACTTTCCCAACTTGTCCAAAACTCTCTCTCGCGAAAAACTTGCTCGAGAGCATCGGTGATAAAGCAAAATTACCAGCATTCGTTATCCTTAAAATCTTATCTTAAAATCCACTACAAAAAAAAAGAAAAGGAAAAAGAAAATTATCAAGAAGAAAATT